TACTAGACTCTGAGGGCTCAGTTCGATGTGCGTGGCTGAGGTTGGGGACCGGTCAACTGATGGACTCATGCCAGACTGGCTGTGTTAACTCTTCGGTAGGGCGGTCACCCTAGGGGTGACCTCCTGTCTGGGGGTAGTTCAGCTTGACTCACTGTGTTAAGTACACCAGGCGGTCGAGCATGGCCTAGAACTGTTCATTGGTGACATGATTATGCGTGTTTCTTGTTCTTCATACCATGTTGGTTGGTTGGAGCTTAGGGACTTGATAGCTTGTTAAGGTTCTTTTTAGGGAACTTCTTAGCAACGTCTTCCCACAGACGACGCCAATTGTTGGTGCTCGAATTAGCTGAGGACAACAATGTAATTTTGCCCCTAGACTCCGAAGGCTTTGAGGGTTCGGAGAGCTTGTGCTGAGGCCGAGGTCCATAGGCCAAGGTAGAATGGGTTCCGAGTACTACGGAAGCCGAAGGTAGATGGCTGAGGCACTACAAGGCAGAATGCATCAGAGACCCCGGGTGAGAACCCGAGGCAGAGTCTCTGACGGTCAAGTTAATACGAGGTATTAAGAGGGGAACTAGAATTTAGTTTGTGAGCCCAGTTCCATATTCAAATTGTAGATTATATCAAATTAGTCCCCTTACCTAGAGGGGGCACCCCTATTTATATTTGAGCTGTCTGGAGGTAGGTGGAGGTGAACACCTGAGATGGGAGCCGTGTAGAAGCGTACAAGGGCTTGGAAGGATCATGTGAATGCTTCGCAACTGGCTCCGTACATGGGGAGCAGGGTAACCCCCTACTGTAGTGGATCTCGTTCCCAGGTTTGGCGCTTGTGGGCTGGGGCTGCTAGCCTTAAATGGGCTAGGTTGGGTCCCCCCACATCAAAGGATAAAATACAATGATTTGTTAGTCCATAAACAACTCTAAACCCTAGAAATACAAATAATAATTAGATTTTACTCAGATAAATATAATGAAAAAAATAGTAATAGTAACAAATAATAGAAAAGGCAAATGACAGGAAAAAAATAGGGCCCATTTGGCATGTCTTTTTGAGAAGATCTTCTTATAGCTCTAACAGTCAAAAGACGCATTGCGCTTTTGACATAAGATCTGGGCAGCCTGAAAACCGTTTGATAAGTGCACATATTCATCGATTTGTTGGAAGACATTATCAGTCCAAAGACTGTTTGGTAAGTGTAGGTTATTGCACATTATTGATCTGGGCTACTTGTGCATGTTTGACACTTGACCCATCATGGTTGGGTCACAGTGGCCCAAAACCATGGTGGATATGGGTCTTATGGAACCCATCTACAATAACAATGTGTGGGCCCCATATATATTGAGTATTATCTTTCATTTATCCCGTATAGCTTTAGCATTGGTGGGGTCCTCATGTCCTTAATGTGGGGTCCACAAACCATTTATGAGGCCCACTTGGATTAACTAACAATATGAAAGTTGACCCATCATGGTTGGGTCATAGTGACCCAAATTACAGTAGATTGGGGTATTGTGGGTCCCAGTTACCTTGCATTGATTCGGGTACTATGTGTGGGCCCCACACATACTTAGTACTATCTTGCATTTATTATAAACACCATATGGTCCCTGTATTGCTTTAGCACGACTAGGGTCCTCATGTCCTTAATGTGGGATCCACAAACCATTTATGGGGCCCACTCGAATTTAATTTTAACTGGGGTCCTTATGTTCTTAATGTGGGGTCCACAAAGCATTTGTGTGGCCCACTCGAATTTAATTTTAACTGATTTAACTAATAATAAGATATTGTATCTCTAAATAGGTGTACCAAACATAAACATGTTCATAAGAGTTTGCTAAGGGTATCCTTACAAGTCATTTCCATACTAACAAAATGATAATTAACAGTATCATGAAAATGATGAAACATATCATTCCACAGCAGCAAGCATTGACTCCAAGTGCAACAGCATTGTTCTTCTTATAGTCCACATTATCATGACCATTGTTGTGTTGTTCAATGACCTACACTTGAGGTTCGCCTGATATATAATTATCTACCCACATGAAATCGTATTCATGTGGCTGAAATATAATAACAACAAAAACCGATTACACATTACTCATTTTTCATATTAAGTAGTATGACTCACAAATATTGATTTGTTGATTTCACACCTCACCATTAGGGCACTTATAAAACCATCTTCCATTTTTTTTTTCAGTTTTTACCATGAATAACCTCATACGTCCTCATCCACATGTACAAATAGGTCCCTTACGAATAGTGACCATAGCTATCATTCCACAAGTACTTTTAATTCATAACATCCGAACATTAAGAAATACAAACAAGTAATAACCAAGACAGTACACATATAAGTTCAAACTAACACAAACAGTGGGAAGTACACATACAAGTTCAAAGAGAAAACAAATAATCCAAGTATCAAATCAAAACCCACACAAGCTATGTAGATTGTCTCCTATTTCTTGGTCGATTACAATTAACACCTAAGTTGTAGTGATCAACCATCTTGGCTACACGTAAGTTGTAGCTAAGTAGGGGTTAGATTCGTAGTGGTCACCAATGTTCCGTTAGGAAAAACATGGGTTTAGGGTTTCAGTTAGACTAAGAGCTATGGCACTGTTTACTAGCCAAATGAGTTGTCTACCCCTTTCGGGTGACTTAAACCAAAAAGGATAAGATGGTTATTTCAAAATTTGTATGCTTATTATTTTTTATCTTTTTTTTTCTAATTTAGTTAGGGGAAATTTTGACATTTCATCTTTTTTTTGTCACAATTTAATAAAAATGTCAATGATTATAAAACTTAGGAAGAATAACCGATAACCCCAGGGTCAGAATTTGTAGGCTCAAAGTACATTTGGGGTAGGTGCCAGCTCGGAATTGATGCCAACTCACGGGCGAGTATGGATGCATAGAGTGTGGTTTTTGGACCTTCCGAATGTTTATAACTTTGTAGTGGGAACAAAAAATCTGCATTAGGCCTATCTGTACTTTTCCGTAAAACTTAAGGTACTAGACTCAGTTTGGAAAGAATACAAACACAAATATTTGAAGTGTAAATGCATACAAAATATAAGGTTTTGTACTCTACAAATTTGTATTTATATTCCTTCCAAACTAAGCATTAGGGGAATATGTAAACACTAGGGGTACAATTAGTCCATTTCCTAAACCTTAGGTTGCGTTTGTTTGCAGTGTAAATGCTAGACCAATGTAATATTACACTACTGTTTGAATGAAGTGTAAAACAGGAACGAAGATCGGTGTAAAACTCTTTTTGAGATATTTTTACATCAATAATCAATGTAAAAAATACATAGAAAAAATCAATGTAAAAGTACTCCCGCTCTAACGTTCGATAAGATTGTCAATTAATCAATAATGGCGAAAAACAAAGGTGTCATTCTGATTTAACGTTCGGTAAGATTGTATCAAGCTCCCCTTAGACGCTACCCACCATCATCCTTCCTTTCTCGATCTTCCATTTTGTTCTCAGACGCTCTCCCTAGATTTAATCATAACCAAAGGATCAAATAATTTGTTTTATCTTGTTTTGCTCTGAAATGCTCTTCTTTCTCTCAGATGCTTTCCTCTTCCTTTATGCTCTCAGATGCTCCCCCTGACGATTATCAATTAAGAATGCCACAGGGAGAATGTCCTTGTCGACGAAGCAGCAAGTGGTGTTTCAGTATTGAGGTCCCACAAATGGAGCTTGCTATCCCAAGGAGCTAGAGAGAGCAAACCGACGAACAGATGAGACTTGAGAGGTGATCGGAATGACAATGGTAGAAGGAAGTGACAACCATGTCAGGGTTGTTGATCGGAGTGGTGATGGCAGCTAATTTTGTATCTCTCTATGAGTTTTCCTCTTTGCTGATCATGTATTCTACCTTGATCAACCAAAAGCATAGAGAATTTAATTTGTGTAAATATTGGTTCGACTTTTGTACTCAGAAATTTGACTGTTGTTAAACTCTACCAATGTAATTTGTGTTTACACTATAAATAAATGTAGTCTTAGGCCTCTTTGCTTTAAAAGGTTTTTGGGTCGAGCTTGACGAACATGTGTTCGAATTTGCTCCTTAGACGGTAAAACCTACCTCTTAGCACATGGAGCCACACATCTACTTGTAAGCATGATTTTAAAAGGCGACAGAGGTAAGGCGACAGGCGTATGTCTCAAGGCGAGGCGACCAAATTTCACTTGGCCTCAATAGCCTCAGTCTCAAAGCAAGGGGCGTAAGCCTCATATTTAGTGAGGGGTAGGCCTTTGGCCTTTCACCTCAATTTACATGAGATGGTATCCTTAAATTAAAAGGGATTTTGGGTGGGGAAAATTGGATTTTAGTATGGACAATTTTGGAAAAAAAGTAAAAGAACAAGTAAAAACCCCAAAATGTAGGGTTTTCAGTGACCAAAATCTAATTTCTTAGTTTTCGTTTTTCAATCGAACTCAAAAAGATCAAACTCATTTCTCTTCTATTGTTCTTTGTTCTATGGCTGAACTCAAGATTCAAGAAGACAAGAATATTGGATGAAATCAAATCGTGCAACTACATACAGGTCCTCCTCCTCCTCCTTGAATCTTGCGTATAGGTTCTCCTCCTTGTTTTCACTTTTTTCTTTCTTTATTTTTTATTTTTATTTGTCTCAAACTATTAGCTTGGTGGGGTCGCAGATTTGTGAAAGGTTAGAGACTCAAGAGGTATTAGCGTACTACTTTCTTTTAGTTTTACTTTTGAACAGTAAGTGTTGTGATAACTGATAAGTGATGAGATGCTTGGATACATATTACCATGTTGTCATAAATTCATAATATATATTGAATCTGGATCCATTTTGTCATTTTCCATTAATAGCTCTTATTACAACCGTCAAACCGCCTCCGCCCCGAGGGCGTCTTGGTTGTAAGTTATAGGGGTAGATGTTTCCAAAGCACGGTTGCAGCGTGTTGTAAGGTTAGTGTGAGGCGCCCAGCCCATCCCTCCGTGCACTCGGAGCACCTCCCGTGCTTGTGATGGGGAGATATTCCCAATGAAGGATGATGGGATGGGTGGTTGGGCGTCTGTGGGCAGCCGATCCCGTCACGTCCGATTATCGAATTGGTCCAAGGGTCGTTTTTGAAGTAGGGTAGCTTAAAACCCTCGGGAGGAACTCTCCTGGACTCTCTGATGACCTGATGCCTGATGGGGATTACTCTCTAAGGAGTAGCTAAAACCCTCGCACGGTCACCAACCTCTCTGAAATCTGAGTATTTTTTCTTTTTGGTAAGATAAGAAAGTATTTATTCAGACCTTTCCATAAAGACAATCAGTTTCTCATCGTGTTTAACAACTAAGAAAAAAAGTAGAACAATGCTATTGATTCGATGTCTGCGCCCTCGTATCCAGCCTTTGGCATCACATTCTTCGTTTTGTTCGGCGGCAGCTGTTCAAGCAGAGAGAACGATTCGAGAAGGCCCTAGAAACGACTGGACCAGAGAAGAAATTAAGTCTGTTTACGATTCTCCAGTTCTTGATCTCCTCTTCCATGGCGTGAGTTTTAAAGCTCCTCTTCTCTAAATCAAATAGCTTTTAACATTGCCCTTTGTTTTACTTTCTCGTATCGAAAACCTATAGGGCTTTTTTGGTAGATTTCAATGTTTGCGTTTAACATATTGTTTTTCCCTACTAAGTGATTAACGAACACGCACTGTTCAATAATTTCTGTTATTTCTAGGGTGTTTATCTGTTTTTTTTGTTCCCTTTTTAATTAAATTCTGTAAATGTGTGGTTTGTAGAATGAAACTAAAATGCAATAGGCCCCTGTACAATGAGAAGCTGGACAGTGGAATAGAAAGGGAAATCAAACTCAAAAAAAGAACAAGTGTCTGTTTTTGAAAAGTGAGTGATTTGTCAGCCACGAAAACACCATCCCCGTAATCCTGTTGAGCACCTCTTCTCTTGATTTCTGCCTCCCTTCAAAAATTCTGTTATTTCTTTCACACCATTTGCCCAGAAGACTGCAGGGGGGAGGATGCTCCGTGCTATCTTTCCAGCCTTACTGAGTCTTCCTAAGTCCTAAGAACCAAGCCTCTATGATGAAACCCTTCACATCAGCTGGGAAGCACATTTTTAAAACCGAATCTTACCCAATCTTACCCAAACCTAGTAAGCAAAGTCACAGTGTAGTAAGAGATGGCTAGCAGTCTCCACCCTTCCATTACATAATGTGCAGGCCAGATCCGCCACCTCTAAGTCTCTTCTAACTAAATTTTCCTTGATTGGAATCTTGTCCAACACTGCAGACCAAGCAAAGAAAGCTAGCTTTGATGGTACAGACCTGATCCAGATCCTGTTACTTGGAAAGGGAGTGGTATCCTCCCTTGATAAGCAGTTATAAAAGGATTTCACTGAGAAGGAGCCCGACTTCTCATACAGCCATTTCCTTTTGTCCTCCCCTGTTCCAGAGATCTTGGAATCATATAAAATCTGCAGCAAGTTGACCAAAGACTCTACCTCCCAGTCATTATTCCTCCTGAAAAGAGGGTTCCAAGCACAATGTCCATTTTTTCTCCCCATATAATCAGCCACTGATGCATCCTCATTTACAGCAATCTCGAACAGATGAGAGACTAGGGTCATTAGTAGGACGTCCCCACACCAGTAGTCCTTCCAAAAAAGCACCCTATGGCCACAACCATAGGGGGCTCTAACTTTTTCTGTCTCCCACTCCCTGCTACTAGATCCATACTTTCATACAACTAATCTTCTCCACAAACTGTCAGTGTGTTCATTGAATCTCCATAGCCATTTCAATAGCAAGGCTGTGCTGACATCTTTCACTGATCTTATCTAGGGGTGTAAATGGTATTCGAAAATTCGAGTTCGAATTCGAGATTCGACATAATCGAATCGAATTCGGATTATTCAAATACCATTGGCGGTCGAATTCGAATGAAGCATTTTTACCGATTAATTAATTGAATCGAATTCGAATAGGAGTCGATCCGATTCGATAATACCTATTATACATATATATCAATATATATTAATATATTATTTTGTTGGAGTACCGAGTACGTACAATGAGCTTTTGAAAAATTTCTTTTATAATATTATTTTTATAATAAAGAATTGAATGAAGACAGAATATGCTATGATGATTATTTTTATAACAAATAAAATAATATTTTAATATTTTTTTATCAAAAGCCCGCATCTCATTAATTATTCTGTACTTTTCATTTCAATCACTTTCAATTTACTATTCATCTTTCTTCTTCCTCGCCTAATTGGTTCTTATTCTGCAACATTTTTTCTTTGCAGCTTCTTCTCTTTTGGTCCATTGCAACTTGAATATTAGATCCACAGGTTTCTTATTCATCCCCTGGTGAAGAGGTTGGTGTTAAAAATACATTTCGAATTCGAATCAAATTTGAATTCGATGTATTGCTTTAAGAAATCACCGGATATCGAATTGAATTCGAATATGAATATATTTAATCAGTTTCGAATTCGAATCAAGCCTGATTCGATTCGAATTCACTCTGTTTACACCCCTAATCTTATCCCTAGACCCCCTTTGGCCCTGGAGGTGCAGATTTTCTTTCAGTTTACCAAATGACATTTAGATTCATCCTTCCACTCCCTCCATAGGAAGTCTCTCATCTTTTTTTTTCTAGGACTGCAGCCCATCTAGCTGGAATAGGGAATAAAGACAGGTAGTATACAGGGAGGGAGGATAAAACACTCTTAATTAAGGTGACTTTACCCCCTTTTGACAAATATTTGGTTTTCCAAGAGGTTAACTTTCTAACTTTCTCAATTATGGGCTCCCAAATCAGTGTTTTAAAAGCTCAAGGTGCAAGGCAAGGCGTGCAATTTAAAAAAAAACTACAAGTTCAAAAAAATTAAAAAAAAGCAAAAAATTGAAAAAATGCAAAAAATTCAAAAAAATAAAAAATTATAAAACATAATATTAATAAAAATATAAACTTAAGTGTTAAAATAAATGTTTTAAAAAACCTATTATCTAAAATTAAAATACATAAATATAATATGTAAAGCATATTCAAATGAGAATTTAAAAATGAAATCAAACATATAAAACCCACACTCTTTTTTTTTTCCTCAATTGCATCAAGTAGCTGATGTGACATATTACATTCCTAATTCTACGAGCCGCCTTTCTGCCACGCCCCTCGAGGCAAGCCCAAACAAGTCCATGTTAGGGTCTTAAATTCTTAGTTTTCACACAAAAAATAATAATTTTATAGTTTTAATTTCTTTTAAGAAGATATTTTATTAGGATGAATGAATGGGCAACATTACCAAATAGGGGATTCTCGAAGCTTCGGTGAAATCGTGTGGCACGGGGGTCCGTGGGCAGAGTCCCCGGCCCAGTGGCCAGACTAAAAAAAAAGGATAAAACAACAAATTTTCAAAAGGCGCACCAGGCGTGCACCTAGGACCTGGGCTAGGCACCTACTCTAAAATGCGCCTCGCCTGTGCGTCTAGGCGTGCCTTTTAAATCACTATCCCAAATGGTTATGGATTTACAATTTTCACCCAAAGGCATACCTGGGTATTTTGATGGGAGTTTACCCTCTACATCACCAATCATCTGCCCAAGATTCCAGGTTTGCCACTTCCCCAACAGCCATTATCTCACTCTTTTGAATATTAATGTGTAAGCCAGTAACTACCGCAAACCATCTTAGGATTGCCTTACATTCCAGATTTGTTTCCATGAGGCATCACAAAAATAAAAAAAAGTGTTGTCTGCAAATTGCAGAAGAGATATCTCTACTTCCCTATTACCTACTTGGAAGCCTTGCACCAGCCCTCTCACCCTGGTTCTCTCTACCATCCTGAAGAGAGCTTCTATTACACAGATGAATTAAAAAGGGGGAGAGGGGGTCCCCTTGCCATAAACCCCTAGTGCTCCTAAATAGCCCAAACGAAGAACCACTTACAAGAACTGAAAATGAGGAAGAAGAAAGACATACTTTTATCCAATTTCTCCATATCACACCGAAATTCATCCTCTTCAAAATGTAGTCTAGAAAGTTCCAGTGTACATGGTCATAGGCCTTCTCCATATCCACTTTACATAACAGTCCTGCGTGGCCACTTCTCTTCCTCAAATCTATTACTTTATTTGCAATGAGGACTCCATCCACAATTAGTCTTCCTCCACAAATGCACCTTTGTTTCCAGCAATCAAGATTGAGATCACTTTTGCCATTCTATTAGCCAACATTTTAGCTAATATCTTGTAAACACTGCTTATAAGGCTGATTGGTCTAAAGTCATTCAACTCCACTGCTTCTTTCTTTGGAATTAGAGTGATGAATGTATGGTTTAGACTTTAGGCTTCTTTCGAGAGCACCCCTTTCATGATATTCGTTTAACACATCAACTACATCTTGTTTCACAAATCCCCAACATTTCTTATAACACAGAAGTGTGAAACCATCAGGTCCCGGGGCCTTATCTCCCTGTATACCTTTTACCACCTTCCACACTTCTTCCTCTGAAAAGGGCTTCTCCAAATCTCTAGTTTTCTCAGCTGAAAGGGACTTGAACTGTAAGCCATCCAAAACTGGTCTGTACCTCAAGTTTTCCTTGTACAGGTTCTCATTGAATTTTGCAATGTGGGTCTTGATTTGTCTTTCCTCTAATTCTACCCCCTGAACCTCTACCTTTTTTATTGTATTCTCCCTTCTCGCGTTTGCCATTTTTGTGGAAAAATCTTGTGTTATTAACTTATTATCTCCATCTTTCAACCGCAAACACCTGGACCTCTGCCTCTATTTAATTTCCTCTTGGTAAGCTATTTTGTCAAATTCCCTTTTAGCCAATTCTCTTGTACTGCGCTCCTCCCTTCCAATGCTACCATTTTCCTCTGCCCTGTCAATTTCTATAATCACTTCCAAGCATTTTTTCTTCTTTTTCTATCCTCCTTTAGCATCCCTCTGTTCGATTCTTTAATTTTTAGCTTTAGGCCCTTCAGTTTTTTGCTGAGAATATGACTTGCAGTACCTTCAAAGGACATCCCTGCCCACCATTCAGCTAACAAATCCATAAAACTGACTCTTCGAACCAGTAGTGCTTGAATCTGAAGGGAGCCCGGCCTCCTCTTATAGATCCACAGTCTAACATAACCGGGGAATGGTCAGACAAAGGCCTTGGAAGAGCTTCCAGTGACAGATTTGGAAAATTCTCCTCCCATTCTGTGGGCACCATAAATCTGTCAAGTTTAACCAGTGTTGCTTCTTCCTGGTTATTTGTCCAAGTGAATTTTCCACCTAACAGCGACAAATCTACTAGGCCTTTTGTTTTTTTTGCATCCTTCTTCTCGTAGGAGAATCTGGTTGCATTGAAATCTCCCCCCAATTACCCACGGATTGTTCCACTTTGTTCTGACGTCATCTAATTCCCCCCCAAAAGAGGTTCTCAAACCTTCTTCATTTGGGCCATATAACACTGACAAAACCCACTTCCAATCGCTCTACCGAGACTGAACTAACAGAGAAACAGAGAACTGACCTAACAACTTGTCTCTTACTGTCACAGCTTCAGTATTCCACACCACTAGGATCCCCCCAGAGATTCCCTGAGCAGGAAGGGCAACCCAATCACAACTGCTATCCCCCCAAACACTCCTGACCACCGAACTGATCTAATCTCTCCATCTTTGTTTCCTGCAAGCAAAGGATTCCGGGATTCCACTTCTTTAGAAAAGCATTGGCGACCACCCTCCTTCCTGAGTTTAAGCCCCTTATATTCCACGACACTAATATGAGAGATTCCATCTGTACACCGATCACGAAGTAACAAAACTAAAATATGTACAGTCAGCCACGCCAGTTTGAAAAGTTCCTTTTCAGTCCTTCGCCCTTTTCTCCCTTTCTTCTCAAACACTTTTCTCTCTATTTGTTATCAGATATTCCCTGGTTACTCCTTCTGGACCCTTCATTGAAACCCCCAAAAGATCACCTTTTTGCAGCAACTTTGACAGAATCCAACTTGAAACTTCTAGCTGCCCTTCCCTTGTTCCTTCTGCAAACGCTGGAGTTTTCACCAGTTGAGTACAGCCATTCCATTCTGCATTCTCCTCTGCCAGAACCACTGCTAAGGTGCTAACGGATGCAAGTTCTTTTCCTCGTCAGGCTCGTTGTTGACATCGCTAAAGCTAATCAGCTTACCTCCCTGAAGTGCATCTTCCTTCCGCAACACCTAGCTCTTCCACCCCTGGCGCTAGCATTTTTCTGCCTTTGCTTGAACCTCCATGGCCTCCCCCTGCTAATCTCTGACTTCTGCTTCTCTTTTGAGCAACAACCTCAACACTGGCCACCGTGTCTCCTAATGAGAGGTTATGAGCTTCTTTATGCAAAAACTCGGTCTGCCTTGACCCCAGTACAATCTGTAGTTTAAGCTGATTGTTTTTGATGTCTTGGGCTTTCTTAAAAGTCCCCATAATATGGGCTCCCTGTGGGCTACGATCTGGATTCAATGTAAGAGCAGTCCTCAACCCTCCTACATCTAAGGGCACGGGCGACACCACTTCATCACCTTCAGGATGAGCTTGATTAGAATCATCCTCAGAGTGAATACTCATGAAGGATCTAGAGTCTTCTCCTTTGACGACACCTGTATCTGCTTCTTCCTCTCCAATGGATAGGATCACACCAACTCACCTCCAATCTTTCACAGCATTTTTCTACAATCTTTTCGCACAGATTTTCCAAGTTTGAAATGGGTCATCGAGTGTGTGACCACTCTCTGACGCTTTCCAGTCTGCTCCTTTCAATAGACGGCCAGATAATTTCTGTTCCTGCACACGTGCCCTCTTTTTACCGTGGTGCCTTCAACTCTTGCCACACGTCCCTGAGTCTCCTTAGCTTCCTCTCCCTTGAACCCCCTAACGCTGTCATCTTCTTTGGCACCGACCTCCCTTTCCCTTGCGATTGACCCTTCTATTAACTTGCCTTTCAACTTCAAATTTACTTTGGCCTCAATGTCTGTGCTGAGAGAGCCATATGGACCAGATGCTTCTCTGCTAGCACCGCTTGAACTGCGTCTTCTGGCTTCCTACAGCAATTGGGAAGAAGTTCCAGCCGCATAGTTACCACTATCATCTTGTTCCCTTCCAGTATATTTGCTCTTGCTGGCAGGTTACCCTTCCATCGCACCTTGATCCTTATCCACTCTTCCATCTCCTTAGCCTCCTGCGAGTTATCCATTCCCACATAACCTCCGCATATTTATCTTTTCTTTTTCTTCTCTCTTTTCTAAAGACTCATTCTTTCCTCTTGTTCTTCTCTATTTCATATCTGAATCTTTTCTTCATATGGTTCAGTTCCTTAGGTCTCCCTCTTTTCTCACCACATTCACCGTAATAGGACTTTCTCCTTCCCATCCTGCATCATAACTCTGTATGTACTTTTGTACTTTGTTCTTTGAAGAAAAATGAGATTTTCACTTTTTTTTTTTGAGTTTGAATGTGGTTTATGATTCCTGAATCCTAGAGTAATAATCCTAGGCCACTCCTTGAGTGTACCGGGTTTTCTTTCTTTATTTTCTCTTTCTAGATTCCTCAATTTTGCATCTATACAACCTCAAGGAATATAAAATAACACTTGTATAAGTTGATTAATCTTAAGCTATCCAACTCTTGAACCATATTCCTTGAGGTTGTATAGCTGCATCATAGACCTGGGAATTCATTTACAAGTGCAAGGTTTCTTTAATTCTTTCATTTAAACCTTATTTTCCCCAAAATTTATATACTTCTTTTGCAGCTTTGGCTTCAAAACAGTTGAACTTATAGAAGTCTCAAACACTTTTCCTTAAATAGAAATTCATTTACAAGTATTTTCAAGGTTTCTTTAATCCTTGCATTAGTCCTTAGTTCTCCCAAAATTTCTATGCTTCTGCACCTTTGGCCCCAAAACAGTTCAGCCTTGTTAAGATTGCTAGATGATCTACATTTGGGCTTTCTTTAGTTAATCTAGAGTCTGTTCTGTTGTGTGTGTTACTTTACCCTATTTCTACACCCATAAAGGTTCACAATTGTAATAGTATGAGATTGATTTAATGAATGGAATAAGAGTTTGAGGTTTGAATGTTGCAAGTTGTGTTCTCTCCCCCTCCTTCCCCTTCCCCTAAAGGTGTGATCTTTATTTCTCTCTTCTCTATTGTCTTCTATATTTCGGATCTGAAAGAAATGTAAGCATGAAAGTTTCCATGTTAGCTGTGATCTTTATCTATCTATCTATCTATTTATAAGTATTGATTTGTATATATGACATTTCATAGTTTAATATGCTTGCATTTCTAAATTAGGATCTGGCTGATTCTTGAACCCTTTGTTCCAGTTTGCTTCTTCTCTATTTCAACCTCCTGAGCAACATTGAATTTCACTTTGATATAAATTTTATTGTTTCTGTAGGCTCAAGTCCATAGACATGTTCACAACTTTAGGGAAGTACAGCAGTGTACTCTTCTCTCTATTAAGACTGGTGGGTGCAGTGAAGATTGCTCGTATTGTCCACAATCTTCCAGGTATGACACCGGATTGAAAGCCCAGAAGCTGATGAACATGGATTCTGTTCTACAGGCAGCAAGGAAGGTTTGTTCATTTTGCATTTGACACTTCGCTGGTTTCATGGAAGTTATAATTGGTAGTTTGATGTTTTGATTGATCATATAATCTCAATCACTTGTACTCCTTTTATAAATTTCCAAATTAATGATTATGACACCATATTTTTCTTGAGGTGAATCCCTTATGGATTGTGTTTCACTGGAAGCCATGAATACATTGTAGACCTGCCTTTCTATGCACTGCTTTTTAGGATTGTCTATTCTTGAAGATACAAGCATCCCTCTGTCAATATTGTCTATGTTATTGCTAGAGGAAGTACATGCAAAGTGACCTTTCCTCACTTTCTTAAACCTCTGAGTTGCAAGCTGTAAAGCTCCAAGTTTGATCTTGGGCAACACTAGTTGAGATGATATTATAAAGCTTAAGAAATGGATCAACAAAGTATAGATGGAAAGGGCAGTGCAGGAAAATGCGGGAATCCTAGGTAGAAAGGGCTAAGGAGTTGAATATAAACAGGTTGATTATTGAAGGAGATTCACAAGTGGTAATTGGCTGGATAGAGAAGACAAATGATGGGTTATGGACTTATGGACATACATTAATGAACGAAGGCAATTAAAGTGGTTAACTCAAGGAATGGATGTGCGTATCCAGTGGGTTAAAAGATGTGCCAATTCATTTACAGATGCTTTGGCTAAACAGGGTATGGGAAGAAATCATTTATTTTGGGCTACACTGTAATTTTCCTTTTGGGGGTGAGGTAAGAGGGTTGACCTCCTCCTACCCTTGTATTTAAAACCTTTTTCTTAATTGATGAAAGTTTTCTGTTACCGGTAAAAAAAATGCTGGAATCCTAGGTTGTCCTATTATTGGTTGGCCTATGAACTGCTTGGGTCTTTCTTTAGGGGTTAATCCAAGGGAGTGTGGCTTTTGTAATCCTATCATGGAGAGGCTGGGTAAGAAGTTGTCAACCTGGAAAAGGAACTACATTTCCTTGGGAGGTAGAATAACCCCAATAAAATTCAAAGTAGTCAACCTACCAATCTACTACCTGTCAATCTTTAGGATCTCACAAAAGATAGCAAAGGAAATAGAGTGTATAATAAGGGATTCTTTTATGGGAACTATAGTTTTTTCAAGGCATCAAGGCGAGGCTAGGCGACCAGGGGGGCACCCTGGCGATGGATTTTTTATGTAAAAAACATAGATCCTAAGGGCTAGGGTAGTTCCCTAGGTACCATAACCATATTTCCTTAATAACTATTCATATTTTTCATAATAAAAGTATAAAGTTCATGTTAAAGTATAGAAAATCAACATATTCATGAGAAGAAAAAGAAGGAAAAGAAAATTAAAAAAATATAGGGTCTGAACCCTTATTTTTGTTATAGGAAAAGAAGAAGAAGAAGAAAATGTGTTGATTAGACAAAATTTTATGTTCTTCCTTACTTATTGGTCCAGGTTTTGAAGTCTTTGAGGGTTCAATAATCAATACAGCATTTAGCAATATTCGTGTTAATTAAACCCTAACAAATAAGAAAATAATAAAAAGAAATTAGTATATAAAAACAAAATGAATATTTTAGTTTAATAATGTCTATTTTATAATTATAATCTCAAAAAATAAAGAATGAAAAAGTATTTTATAATAGAAAGTACAGAACTGCTTGGCGATTAGGTGAGGCAAGCCTCCAAGGGTGCCTTGTTGCCTAGCGCCACCTTGACAACTATGATGGTAACCTGGAGAAGGATACAAAGAACCACTTAGTAAGAAGGGAGGTAGTATGTAGGAGCAAAGATCAAGGTAAGCTAGGAATCAGAGAATTGGGTAGAAAGAATGTTTCACTCTTTGGGAAATGGTTATGGAGGATGATCTGGAAAGGTAAACAGAAATCTGTTGAGACATGGTTTCCCCCAATATATGGCTAGAAGAAGCTGAACTTTGATGGGAGTTGTGTGGGTAATCCGGGCCCCTCAGGCATGGGGACCATTAGAGATGTAGATGGAAACATCATTTCTCTATATTCCGGTCCTGTGGACAGGGTGATGTGGCATTTGGCAAGGTGAGTTTCTGGCTGCAGTATATGGGGTTGAAAGGGCAAAAGAGCTGGGTATTAACAGACTGATCATTGAGGGAGACTCGAAAACTGTGATAAAGTGGCTGGCTGGCTGCAGAAGGGTGAGGGGGTGACATGGCAGTTGAGAAATGAATTCAGAAGACTTAAATGGCTCTCAAAGGACATGTCAATGAGATGGGTGAATAGAACTGCCAACAGCTTGGCAGATAGCTTAGCTAAGCAGGGGGTACAAAGAACACATCTGTTTTGGTCTCAATTGTTATTTGGTTTTGCTTAGCTTTCTAAAGCTGGGTTTTTTTCACAACTTATTGTTGTAACCAATTTTTCTTCTAATCAATGAAATCTTTTCTGTGTTGCTTATAAAAAAAATGTTGTGGAGAAAAGTGGCAATTAGCATTCATGGGATGTTCAGATATGGTTGGGCTACCTTGGCCTCTCCATGGAGGGGCCATTTATGGTATTCTTCCAGTTTTTTTAAATCTCACCAGGTAAGATGCTTGTTCTAGTAATAAAGTTATATTTTTCGGAGGACATATGGCTGGGAAATTCTCCCCTTAGGTTTTGTTTCCCCCTTTGTGTTCTATGGGTGGGCAAGTCCCTCCCTAAGAAGCTTCTACTGTAATAAGTTGAATGAAAATCATAGAAACTTTTTTAGATCCCTTAAAAGTGGATAGGTACATTTGGATACTTGCCTTTGGGTTATTTTTCTTGTGCATATTTCTTTAAGGCCCTTCCCCCCTTCCCCCCAATTGTGTTTCCTTGTTAAAGAAGTATGGGGTAAGCCTATTACTCATAAAATTCGGGACACTTTGTTGGGAGGTGTACCATGAAAGGCTCAATACTTTAGACATGCTGCAAAAGAAAAGATCAAATTGGTGTCTATCCCCAAATTGGTGCAGTCTTTGTAAGGCTGATGGTGTGTCTTGTTATCATTTATTAATATCTTGTCCTTTTGTTGCTTTTATTTGGGAAAAGTTTCTTTCTTTTTGGTTGTAGGTGGACAGAGCCCTCAATTATGGCAAAGCTGTTATACGTAGGGACCATTGTATGGAGATGTACAAGGGCTGCAACTGTATGGGCAATATCGGAAGAAAGAAATGCAAAATCTTTAAGGAGAGAAGTCAGGAGTCAATCTTTGAATATATAATGGCCAGGGTAGTGCATTGCGTTAAGTCCATGCAACTTTTCTCATGATAATGTGTGGAGAAAGTGGTGGGAGGTGGCTACATCTTCATCAAAGAAATCAAAAGTCTATATTCAATGGATACCACCTGAGGAGGGTTTCATCAAGTTAAACTTTGGTGGAGTAGTGTAGGGAATTCAGGTCCATTAGGTGTGGGAGGAGTCTTTAGAAATGTGTAAGGACACATCATTAGTCTGTTTTCAGGACCAATTGACTTTGGGGATTCCACAAGGGCCGAGCTCGAAGGCGACTCTGTAGTTGTAACTGAATGGTTAAAAAATAGTGAGAAAGTATTATGTGGTTACAAGAATGAAAGCAAACAAATTGGATGGTTGACAAGGAGCATGATTATAAAAAGACAATGGATGCAGAGTTATGCAAATGGGCTTGCTAATGCTTTAGCCGAGCAAGAGGTTAATAGGAATCAATTGTATTGGGCTTGCTTGTAATTGTTGTAATATTGTTTGAGGTAGGGCAGTAATTGCTAGTGCCATGGTTCACAATATCAGTGGTATTTAGGTGATGTTATGGAATTTTTTGGGATTTTTTTTCAAATATCACTGATATTTTCCCGATGTATACATATATACATCTATATTAAAGGTTTAATGTTTGAGAATATTATTACAACTTTTTCATATTTATTTAAAATCATCATAATTTTTTAAAAACATTCTCATGAAGGAACCAATGGAGAATGGTTATTGGCTAATTGGCTTATTATTTTGATATGGTTGACTTACTAAGTCACTATAATTTCAAAGAAAAAGAAAAGTGCATATAATTACAAAAAGGTATACTTACGAGACCTTCTAGGTTAAAACAAATGTGATTGGAAGGAAGAGAATGGTTTGAATAGGCATCATGGAATGGAGATTTTTGAATGTTGGATCAAAATCCTTTGAAATTAAACGAAGCTTTAATAAAAAAGATGATTTCGTACTAACGGAAAGGGCAAGAGAGCTTGGACACAGATAGTTTTGTCTCATGAGGACATTCTATGGACTAGATCCTACATTCAGGAAGCTCTGGAAATTGAATGAAGACATTTAGCAGACCGTAAGAGAGCGTTCAAGGGAAGAATCCTATGTTTACAACTTAAATAAAACACCTGGGGCAGATTCATCTGTCTGAGCAGATGGGAAAAATCAGATAAGGTAAGACACATTTGTATTCCAGAAGAACCAACCTCCGGTGGCTGGAACTCCTTCATCCAATTTTTGGACTGGGCTGTTCCGCCTAGAGTGAAACCCCACCATACTAATCTCACGCAAGAAGCCTTTCCATCGCTCCAAGTCAAAAGCAAAATCATAAAATTTGAAGGGTCTGCGTTTCTTTCGATTGCACATCAGGGAAAGCCATTTGGAAACTGGAGTTTGGCTTTCGTCTGCAAGAAAACACCTGCATTAAGTTGGGATGAAGTTGAAGCCGGACTGTCTGCAAATTTGCATTCTGAATCCATGTTGAAACTACACACTTTTGAACAAAACAAAGCAGTTGGCTTTGCCCCTTCGGAAGACTTGATTATCTCTTGGGCCAAGCTCAAAGCAATCTTCGTTTTTGGTGACTGGGTTCAAATTGAACGCTGGTGGCCAAAGATTAATGCAGTCCCTGATCAGTCGAGGTTCTACGGTTGGCTCGAGTTAAGAGGGCTTCCATTCCACCTCTGGACGAAGGAAATCTTTTCTCCGATAGGAGACACCTATGGAGGTCTTGAAGACATAGATCCCCGATCTTTGAATTTCTCTGAGTTAAGTTTTGCC